ACTAACTTTTGTTTGTATTTTAGCACTTTCTCCTAGAGATTTGCCAACTAGATCGTTGAATACGTCTGTCTCATCTCTGTCAGAGCTGCTAATTTCTAGCAGCAATTCTCCTCGGCGAACATTTTTCCCAAAGTTCTCGAGTGCCGGATCGGCTTTTATTTTGCGCAATATATCTGCGTATGTGGTTTTACTATTTGCAGAGATTATCATTGCATTAGGCCTGTTTTGTTTTGGCGTCTACTCTTTTTATACCCACCATCAAAAAATGGGGGGTATATTGATTTTGTCATTCCGTTTGTAACACATCGAACTATTGGTCATAGACCCACAAAAGTATATATATTCTGGGTCCTCATTAAATTCTAAGACGATCTAGCCATGTCTGTCCGTCCGTCTGTCTGTCTGTTGAAAGCACGATAGCGTCCCAATGGAAAGAGCTAGAGGGTTGAAATTTCACATAAATATTTCTTATAGGTAAGGTTTGTTGGTATTGAAAATGGGCAATATCGGATAGCCCCCATACAAGTGGCCCCTCGAAAAGCAGCTTTAACAGCCATAACTTGTTTAAAAATACGAATATAGCGATGAAATTCGACGTAAGTAAGTTTCTTATGATCCATAATCACTATGCAAAATTTTATGAGGATCGGTCCATGATTGACCCTAGCCCCCATATAAGGTCCCCTTCAGAAAATGACTGCAATGCTCATTAATGCCTTAAAAATACGAGTGTAGCGATGAAATTCGACACAAATTAATTTAATACGAACCAAATTCTGTCTACCAAATTTTATGAGGATCGACCCATAATTGACCCTACCTCCCTATATAAGGTCCCCTTCAGAAAATTACTTTAACGCTTATAACTGGCCTAAAAAATACGAGTATATAGATGAAATTCGACACAAGTAAGTTTCATTCGAGTCAAACGAGGTTTGATGGTGGGTATATAAGATTCGGCATAGCCGAATATAACACTCTTACTTGTTTCGCCTTACCGTTGACCAGTCAGACGACGATGCGGTATTATCCTCTTTTTGATCAGATTGTGTTGCATCAGTTTTCTCTTCCGTTTCCTCTTCAGTATTTGGAGCTATTTTCTTCATCATCTTTGGTTTGGTTTTTGGAGATTCGCCGCTTGGGTCTCTACTCCTTTTTTTACTTTTCTCATTAGATTTCGGAGATTTAGGCAATGTTTGTGTTGTCTCCTCCTTTTCCTCAGGTGATTCTGTTTTTCGGATGCCAAGTTCGTCAAGCGCCAGGTTGTAAGTAACGCTTATAATGCGAAGCTACTCTTTTACAGAATTATGCAAATTTGTTTTTTGGTTTAGCGAATTTAATCAGAGATGAAATAAGCTTACCAAGCTTCAAGATGGAATCGGTGCTTTTCACGTTCCATGGTTATCTTTGCAAGCAGGGAGGCCATGCGAGGATTGACCTAAGGTCCTTATGGGGCCTTATGCCAGAGCCAGATTCGTACTAATCGGGGAAAGCATCCGAACCTGCACCGCCAACTTAATGCTGACAGTTTTCGAACGTACTTTGAGACTTGCCAGGTTTTATTGGGACGGAGGCAACTGCAGCATTAGCCTGAAAGCCATTTCCATAGAATATCACTCCTATGTAATCAAGTTTCGGCTGATGTCAGCCCATTGTGCATCTATTCATATTCAGGTTTCCAGAAATACCGTAATGGGCTTGGTCTTAATGCCTTTCGGCGAAGCCATTTATCGCCACAGATATCCATTTTTTTAAACTAGGAACAACCCCGGAGTCGTTACTCTCCTTTATACGCCTTTCTTGAGGGTATCCTTATGGCTGGATGTCTAATTAGAGGGCGGCATCCTCTCGCCCTGTCACAAGACTTCACAGAGTTCTTGTAACCACTTTGGCACACTCTGCATGCCTGCCAAAACTAGGGTCCGCGGGGCCGTTACACCAGTTATTCTCAGTTGAGAATACCCTTGCGGGTATCTATCTATCTATCTATCTATCTATCTATCTATCTATCTATCTATCTATCTATCTATCTATCTATCTATCTATCTATCTATCTATCTATCTATCTATCTATCTATCTATCTATCTATCTATCTATCTATCTATCTATCTATCTATCTATCTATCTATCTATCTATCTATCTATCTATCTATCTATCTATCTATCTATCTATCTATCTATCTATCTATCTATCTATCTATCTATCTATCTATCTATCTATCTATCTATCTATCTATCTATCTATCTATCTATCTATCTATCTATCTATCTATCTATCTATCTATCTATCTATCTATCTATCTATCTATCTATCTATCTATCTATCTATCTATCTATCTATCTATCTATCTATCTATCTATCTATCTATCTATCTATCTATCTATCTATCTATCTATCTATCTATCTATCTATCTATCTATCTATCTATCTATCTATCTTATCTATCTATCTATCTATCTATCTATCTATCTATCTATCTATCTATCTATCTATCTATCTATCTATATCTATCTATCTATCTATCTATCTATCTATCTATCTATCTATCTATCTATCTATCTATCTATCTATCTATCTATCTATCTATCTATCTATCTATCTACTAGCTATCTATCTATCTATCTATCTATCTATCTATCTATCTATCTATCTATCTATCTATCTATCTATCTATCTATCTATCTATCTATCTATCGATCTATCTATCTATCTATCTATCTATCTATCTATCTATCTATCTATCTATCTATCTATCTATCTATCTATCTATCTATCTATCTATCTATCTATCTATCTATCTATCTATCTATCTATCTATCTATCTATCTATCTAATCGAGCTATCTATCTATCTATCTATCTATCTATCATCTATCTATCTATCTATCTATCTATCTATCTATCTATCTATCTATCTATCTATCTATCTATCTATCTAGCTATCTATCTATCTATCGATCTATCTATCTATCTATCTATCTATCTATCTATCTATCTAACTTTTTTTTAATGGGGTGCGGAATCTTCATCGATATGAATTACAATCCATTATGTGAGATTCAGCTATGTTTTGCGCCACGTACTTACTAAACCGCCTTCCCATCGTCAACCGCAAACCCCACGGAACTGCCTTTAGGTATTACGTCGCGGGGATGGTAAGCATCTATGCTATCTCCACATTTAACCCATTTCTCCTTTGCTCTTTTCGACTTTTTTACTCCAGTTGCAACAGCAGGTTTATCTCGGTTATATACTTCGATATTAGTTCCCACTTTTCCGGTGAAGTAATCATGATATCAATTATATTTCCAGGGTTAATATCATCTCCTACACCAACCTCTAATTCGCGTCTACGATCATCGAAACTACGACATTTAAAGACTACATGTTCTGCGTCCTCCGGCTCTTCACAAGTTGGACAATGTGGTGAATCATCGTGCCCAAATTTATATAGATAACACCTATAGCCTCCATGGCCTGTCAAAAACTGAGTAAGGTGATAGTTTACCTCTCCATGCTTACGCTCTACCCATTTCTTGATTACAGGTATGAGCCTGTATGTCCATCTCCCCTTTTGACTATTTTCCCACCTCTCTTGATAATTTCGCATTGTTTCGTTACGCTCCAATATCTTTCGCATGCGTATATTCTCCGTGTCCTTATGTTCTTTTGCCGTATACAATCTGTAGTTCTTCGGCTGCCATATCAATTGGTATTATTTCAGCAATTACGCTTATTGCTTCGAGGGATGTAGTCCTGTAACCGCTACATATTCTAAGACAGCATTGTCGAAATAAAGACATTAGGTCTTTCCGAGATGTGCTTCTTATTGATTTCGCCCATATAGATGCGCCATATAATAGGACCGACATCGTTACTCTGGATAGTAGTATCCTTCGGCTTTGCCTTGGGCCTCCTACGTTTGGCATGATCCTGCTTAACGCATTATTTACTGTTGTTGCCTTTTGACATGAATATTTTAAACGTGTTTTGTAATTGAGCCTATCGTCAATCATAACACCCAGGTATTTTATCGCCGCTACTGACTTAATTTCAGATGCACCTATTTTAATAGTAATTATTTCCTTCTTCCTTCTGTTGCTAATAAGAACAGCCTCTGTTTTATGGTCCGCAAGTTCAAGACCTGCTTTCCTGAGCTACACATTTATGGTTCGAATGGCGTCATTTGCGTACATTTCTACTTCGCCTAGGAAACGTGCCCTAACTACTATAGCGATATCGTCAGCAAAACCGATGATACTAGCTTCTTCGGGAATGTTCAGTTCTAGCACCCCGTTGTACATTATATTCCATAGGAGGGGACCTAACACCGACCCCTGTGGAACTACTGATGAGGTTTTATAGTGTTGTACACCAATATCGGTTTCATAGCAAAGAATTCTGTCTGTGAAATAGTCACCGATTATCCTAATTAGGTAATCCGGAACCTCAAGATTTTTGATGGGCTGCATAATCTGGTTCCATCCTGCACTGTTGCATGTATTCTTTATGTCTAGGGTGATGATGGCACAATACTTTTTGTTCATGCCTTTTCCATATATAGCAGTTTTCGCCATACTTATCACAGTGTTAATTGCATCAATCGTTGAGCGCGCTTTCCGAAATCCGAACTGTCTTTCGTTAAAATCACCAGCTATAATTTTAGGGTTATATTTCGCAGCATCTTCCACAAGCCTATCTATGAATAATTCATATTCATTTAAGGGAATGTTTGGTGAGACGTAACAACTATAAAAGTAGATACCTCCGATTTTTGTTCTTACGAAACCTTCCTCCGTGGTTTTCATTGAATGCTGGAATGCATATTTGCCACAAGACCAGATTGCTGCTTTCCCTGTCTTATCCCTCTCCCATACGCTGCTGTATAAATTTTTATACTGCTCGCAAACTATCGCTATGTCCAGGTCCATCTCTATAATTGACTGGCTAAGAAGGTCTTGGGCCGCTGCACAATGGTTCAGATTTAACTGTATAATTT